CATTTCCTTGTTTGAAAACTAACAATCTCTTCTCATTCAGAACTTTTATTTCCCAGACGCAAATTTCCAACGATTCGTTCCACTTTACCTTGGAATCAAATTTATTTAGATCACTTGTGCTTTTGAATCATCTTACTAAGAGGTTTCGATATAAATTTTGTAAAAGGGTGAAATGAATTTAAGTCATGAACTGCCTTGGAAGAGAACTATCCTTAGAGATTCCATTTGGTCTTTGGTGAAGTTTTTTTTGCCAACCAACTAGTCGAAGAAAAAATGAACGAAATTGTCTGCTATTCGATTTACAAAAAGGCCAAAATAGTGGAATCACTTCTTTCTTTAAATAGAAAAAACTGAAAAAATATTTTAACAATGGCACATACTTAAGATTTCACTCATGCAGATGACCAAGACAAAAGATTTATCTATTAATCTTTAATACTTATTTATGATTTAGTACCCTCTAGCTTTGATTGTTCCTCCTCAGATAATTCTATAAAAGCAAATGGATCTCCCGTGTGTTTTGGTGCGAGAGATACACAAATGGGAAAGTTTATAGTTCCCTTGGATGGCAAAATGGGAGGCGTGAGGCTGGTCCACCTGTACGGCTACGTGTCTTGTCACACGGCAGACCCCAAAAATTGGTCACCTTGGGGCTGTGGTGAAGGAGCGCAACAGGAGATCAACGCTGTCATAACCAATGACAAAAATCAACAACTTTTGCCCCCTACGGAGTTCCTGAGCAGCAAGTACCCAGCAGGAAAATGGCACAAAATTCCAGGTTACAACTCACTGAGCCCTGTCATTGAGCTAAAAGTGTTTAAAGATCCCCTTAATGTGAGTGCTGGCCAGGAGCTAGGACTGTGGTACGGTGAAGATTTGACCAACTGGACCGAGCATGACAACGGGGGAAGAACCTGCGCTGATGTTTTCATCCTGTACGTCTGAGATGGAATATTCCAGTTTTAGAAGATTTGCTTAGAAGAAGAACCTGTAATAAGGTTAAGAAGAAATAAACCGAGGGTTTTAAAGGGAAAGCTGCTCTGTTTCTTTGAAGTTTATAACACATGCACAGCTTTGTTACACTCTTCCTCCTCTCTAAAAACATATCTCGACACATTTGAAGTCCCTCGCTGCATGTTTTCCTCAGCGCCTCGAAGTATCGTGATAATCTCACTTAGCAGAACAGCGTACACTTTACTGTGAACTTTTAACGGGCAAATGAAACACACAAACTCCATAAAGGCCTACGAACACTTCAAATAAATGACACAAACTAAGGGAACGATAAAAAAATGGAGAAGAATAAATGGGAAAGAAAAATGGAAAAGAAAAAAGGGCAAAAGAAAAACAAGCTGTAAAATCTGCCTATTTATTTTTTTTAAAACTTTCACACTTTGAGCAAAGCGTCGCAGTTATATAATAATTCTCAATTTTAAAGTGGTTGTAATTGTTATAGCAATACAGAATTTCGTAAGTTGTTGAGTGTACTTATAAAAAGCGCAGTTTCAAGCAAATCTTCGGATTACTTCTGTTTTAAAAAATACTCCAATCCATGCCATGATTACTCCCTACAAAGTCAAGGCAGTCAGTAATTAAATGAAACAGGAAACTAGTCTTTAGATATGCACTTGTTCCTTGACGCAAGTCAGGTCTTGGGTGGATTTTGAATGCTGCCAATCTTCACTTGTTCTCTTTCGTGTTTAGATTATCACGTTTTGACGAACATGAAGGAATTTTGATCGCCTTTTCATTCGAACCTTGCATTGTGACGGACAATATCGTGCGATTTTAAACACAAGTGTCCGAGTTTAGACATTTGCGTCCAGTTTTAAACAGAAGCGTCCTATTTTGGACACTAATCTGATTTCAGA